AAGGGTCATGGTGAGGGATGGTGGGACTCCACAGGTTACGAGACACTCCTCCACTCCAGCATCCTGTTTCTCACAGAGACCCTCCAGATGCTTCCCGGAAGCCTACGTGCTGTACACGAATAGCGTCACTTCCTAGAAATTGATTGTTCGGGATCGGCTGCCCCGGAACCTGTAGGTCTTGGATCAAAATGGCTTGATTTGAAGGTATTGATAGGCTGATAATTCAAGAGCATGAGTAGATAACCCAGGAGCCATGCAGGCAGGGAACAGAGCCAAATTCTGGCTCGTGGCTACTTTATGGAGACCATGGAGAGCTCCATGACCAGTAGTTGATGTGAGGCATGAGATGGGAGAGTTTTGTTTGTTTCTCTACAGCTGACAGAATTCAATAGGAATTCCCCTCCAGATTGAATTCTGGTAGATTTAACAAACAAAACAAAACAAAAACCCAAGTTTTTGGGGGAGTTTCAGAGTCTTCACCTGATCTTCGCTGAGGCTCTGCTTCCAGCAACAGGCATTCAAACTCGGAGAAGGACGTGGGTGGAGTTTTCCGAACTCCACAGCAACTGCAATGCATTAGGGGACGGTAGTCTCTCTATTCATTAGGCTCCATAGAGGGTGCCTCTTGAAACCTTGCTGTCCTCTAATGCTGCTGGAATTCCAGCTCAGGGAATTCCTGTTGAGTTCTGGTAGCTGTGGTGAAACACAAAATCTAAACATCCTATGTCTTGTTCTCTAGCAAACGACAGAGACCAAGGCTTTATGTACTTTCACATACTTGAAAGATGGCCATAGAGAGGAGGGGGAGGATCTGTTCTCCATTATCACAGAGTGCAGGACATGTAAGAATGGGCTCGAATTAGAGGAAGCCAGATTTAGGGTGAATATCAGGAAAAACTTCTTAACTGTTAGAGCAGTACAACAACGGAACCCATGACCTCAAGAGGGGGTGGATGCTCCAATGCTGGAGACGTTCAATAGAAAATTGGAAAACCAATGGTCAGATCTACTTTGATTTGGATTCCTTCATTGAGTGGGCGGTGGGGGCAGGACTTGATGGCCTCAGAGGCCCCTTCCATGGTGGGGGCAGGACTTGTTGTCCTTAGAGGCCCCTTCCAACTCCTATGATTCTGTATCTTAGAGCATAGGTCTAGTAGCCAGTTATAGCAGTTTGATACCGGTTTTACTGCCATGGCACCATCTCATTACATTCTAGGATTTGTATCTTGATGTAGGACTTTGAATTCTTTACCAAACAGTGCCAGTAAGTTATCTTGAGCTACAGCAAGGAGAGAAGACTCCCTGGAAAAGACCCTGATGTTGGGAAAGTGTGAAGGCAAGAGGAGAAGGGGACGACAGAGGACGAGATGGTTGGACAGGATCACCAAAGCGATCCACATGAATTTGACCCAACTCCGGGAGGCAGTGGAAGACAGTAGGGCCTGGTGTGCTCTGGTCCGTGGGGTCACGAAGAGTCGGACATGACTTGATGACTAGACAACAACAGCAAAGAATCCTGAGTCTCTCCTCAAATCCTTGAATCCTGGGCAAGCAGCCACAGACAAGAATCCTCTTAGATATTTATACATGTCCAGGAGAAGTGGCAGAACCTCATATGGCTGGCTAAGAAGGTGCCATTCACACATAGGTCATGTGTACCGAATCATGTACCCAATATCTGCCTTTATTCATGCTGAAGTGACAGTGTGAAGGCAAGGAAGTTGCACCTAGGGTTTGGGTGTGAGCAGGAACACGGAAAATGTGGGGTTCTGGCTCACATGGAGAGCATCCACAGATACCTCTGCCACCCTCCTCATTTTGCATGGGATTCCAGGAGCTGCAAGTCAAAAACCCACATCTCGGCCACATCATGTTTAGGAGGCTCCCACATTTGAGGTGCTGTGATGTGCCATCCAGTTGCTTCTAACTTATTAGGGTATCTCTGATTTGTGGTACACAAGATGTTGAAAAAGGGGTTCCCCATGGCTAGCCCCTCTGTGAGTTTCCATCTTCAAATGAGGATTTGAACAGAGGTCTCCTGACCCCTCATCCAACCCTCTCTACTACACCAGTGGTTCCCAACCTCGGGACCCCAGATGCTCTTGGACCACAAGTCTCATAAATCCTGACCAGCACAGCGAGTGCTGAAGGCATCTGGGAGTTTTAGCCCAAGAACATCTGTTAACCCAAGGGAGGGAAGCATTGCTGTAGACCATATTGGTCTCCACCCAATATCTTGTAGCTTACTTAGCTTGTGCATAAGTCTGGCACTGTATACATGAAGGAATGAGGAAGCCTTTCCCCTTTTTCCTTTTAAAGCTCTCATCAAAACAGCTGCATCTGGGAAAGAGCTATAAGGCCAGCATCATACCTTCTCCTTTCCCATTGCAAGCCCAGATGTTATCTGCTTCACCTCCAGCTTTGCCCAGCTGTGCGCGGATGCTCTCAGAGAAAGGTCGGTCCCTGCTGACGACCAGGACCAACAAGGGGGCTTGACGTCGGGGTCCCTGAACGATGCTAAAGAGACACGGGCATAACATAAAAGCTCAGGGCGAGGGAATCTATACATTTCTTCCAGGGTGGAAGCTGCGCCTGCAGAAACCTGCCCCTGGCAGGGCTGAAAACAACTTTGTTCAAACTTGTTTGCAAGCTGCCTTGAAGTTCTCGGGGGTGGAGAGGTGAGGGATAAATTGGTAAAATGAATTTTAAAAGGGTATTCAAAGCAGAGTCTAAGAATGCTACATGATGGACTACAAGAACCAGCATCCCCCACCCAGCGTAGCCACTAGAGTTGTCACTTAAAAAAAAAGCCAAAACAGAAACAAACCAAAATCTGGGCTCAACCAGAGACCTGTGAGATTCTTTTCTTACCATCTCTTCTGATGAAGTGTTCTGCATTCAAAAGTAGTTGTAACTAATAACGCTATTGGTTACCTATAAATTCTGGATTTGAGTCTTGTTGCCGTGGTTCAGTGTTGCTGCTTCCTTTTTGTATTGTCTGATGGTGGTGAAAAAGAAGGTTATCAAATTGGCAGTTGTATTCACATCTGGGAGGGAAGGAGGGATTGGCTAGCACCAGATATGCCAGCATCAAGATAACACATCACTGGCGAAAACTGATAAGAAATGCAACTAAGACCAAAGTGAAATCTTGTGGTTCTTTCCAAACTCAAAGTACAGAACAAGAGAGACCTGTTTTGGCAGTGGGATGTTCAGGCTGATCACCAGCTGAGTTGTTCATGAGCCAGCCGTGTGATGCAGCTGCTAATAAAGCTAATACCATTGTAGGCTGCATAACAGGAGCAGATAACACCCAGCTCAGAGGAAGTGATTGTTCTGTCCCTGTATTCTTTAGTCCGTCTTTAGGGTACTATGCCCAGTTTTGAGTCCAATGTTGGAAAAATCATGTTCTTCAAGGGGAATGAGCTCAGAAAAAGATGATCGCTGTGAGGAGGGATTGAGGAACTGAGGTGTATGAGGAACAATTAAAATAATAGGGTATGTTTTAACCTGGAGAAGATTAAAAAGAGATTTGATGGAGCTTAGTTTAGTCAGGTATACAATAACGGCGCTCTACAGTTTGTACCAGTTGCAGAATGTCTTGTTTTATGGTGCGGAACTTTGATTCCTTAGGAAGGGCCCAATGTCAGGTCGGTACACTCTTTAGATTCAGACCACCTAGTCCGTGGTTCATTGAAACTCCGAACCCACGGAGGTAGGAAAATCAGGTGGGAAGACATAACAGGCCAACGAAAGATGTCTTCCACCCTGGCACCTGTGCTAGACGTGTCTTGTGCCTCCCTGAGCCAGAGACCAACAAAGCATCATCAGGCAGCCATTACGCCTTGTTTGTGACCTGCTTGTGTACAGAGCTTCTTTGGGCCATTTCTCCCATAGAAGAATGAGTAAGGTTATGGCCATGGTTTATAACCTACCTTCCTGTCCAGAAGTTACTGCCTCCATCGACGGTGGCGTAGGGAATCCATTCTGGGCATTGGCCTTCGTTATCCAAGGTGCTGAACCCGTTTTAGAGACACAGTTCAGGACTTTAGACAGGTCCTTTAAAGTTCGGACTGAAATGCAGAGCAAAAGTCACTGCTCCATTGACACTGGAGCCACCAGCTCCTTCCTTCCTTCCTTCCTTCCTTCCTTCCTTCCTCCCTTCCCTCCCTCCCTCCCTCCCTTTCTCCTTAAAAAGGACTCAACAGGGCTTACGTCCTTGACGTTGAAAGCAAATGATGCTGATTTAACAGAAATATGATATACGGATCATCCCAGGGAGGAAGGTTGAGACGGGACCCATGAGCCTGCCAGCTGTCCAGGTGCTAACCGACAGGGACGTTGGCAAGTTTTGGGTCCAAGTCCCGAGTTCAAGTCTGACTCTTTGGTACCAAGTCCCAAGTCCCTATTCAAGATCCCCCCCCCCCTCGGATGAAACAGGAAGGTTCCAAGTTGTGCAACTTAAGTCCAACAGACAGCGACTCCCAGAACTCGAATCCCCATCTCGGCTAACTGACCAGCCCTGTGCCAGCTGTGGATTATGGGAACCGTAGTTCACCTCCCTCAGAGCCTCCCCCCCCGGTCTGACCTCTGAGCAGCCCCCCTCGCCTGGCCTCCTCTGCTTTTTCTCTCCCCCTCCACGGCGTGTCGAGCAAAGCCAGGAGGTCAGTCTGCCGGGAGTTTGCCGCCCCTCTCCGCAGGTATAGACACAAGCTGTGACTTGTTGGTCTCTCTCTCTCTGTGTTTGTGTGTGATGGGGGGGGGAAGACAATGTACAGAATTGCAAGACCCCACCGAAAGGTATTTGCCTCCCCTTGGCGAAGCTGCCCCAGTGAAGATACCGCTGGTAACAGAACACCTTGGAGAAGGTTTTTTGCCCAAGCTGTGGATGTGTGCCGAGCACCTTTTCGGTTCCTTGACAAGGCCCTCTGTGAATTGCTCTCCGTCTGATCCTCTTCTCTCCCTCCCCTCCTTCCCCCCCCTCCTTCCCTCTCTTCCAGTCCCAGTTCAATCTGCTGAGCAACAGCATGGATCAGGGCGCAGCTGACAGCCAGGCTCACTCCTCCTCCAGTCCTTATAGTTCCGAGCACACCTCCAATGTCCCGTCACTCTCGCCTTACTCCCAGCCCAGCTCCACCTTTGACACCATGTCCCCGGCGCCCGTCATCCCGTCCAACACCGACTACCCGGGGCCGCATCACTTCGACGTGACCTTCCAGCAGTCCAGCACCGCCAAATCCGCCACTTGGACCGTAAGTTGCCTGCCGTCTTCTCCGATTTCTAGGTTTTTTTACTCTTGAACATGTGTGTGTGTGTGTGTGTGCGCGCGTGCGAGCGTGCGCGGGTGGCTCTTGAATTGGTACCCCCATCCTGTTGCAGGAGACTCTCCCAACACATGCCGTAGAAAGTTGTGTCTATGCATTCAGACTCTAACCCAATAAGGGTCCCTTCTGGCCATCCCGCTCCAGAATTCCAGGCAGGGGTTCTTTGCTAGCGATGCTTGGATTTGAACCCCAGGAACATTTTGTGAGTCTGGGCTCGTTCCCACGGAACCGCAGCTCGTTCCTGAAAAATAAACCAAGCACCTAGTCCTCAGTGTTCTTAATTAACAATTTGGTGGGAACATTGGAACGTTGGCCCACGTAACCCAGTACTGTAATGCCAACTCGGACTGGCAGCCTCAGTTGTTCTTCCCAAATTCATGCCTGATTCTGGTCTTTGAGGTTTGGGAGAAAGGGTCCTTCCAGCCAGAAGGTACCATCCACCGGATCGGGCCACCTGGTTTCTACTGGGGTACGCTGACCAGCAAAGGCACCGTGACGGGGGAGTCTTTTGAAGGATGAATGGGAAACCTTGAACAGCAGAACGGTAGCATCCAATCATGTTCTCTGTCACTGGATCCATATTCCTCTGGACCACGGGGACATGAAGATGTTTTGCAACAATGCAAAATCCACAGAGTTTGCCGACTCTGGGGATGCACTGCTTTTGAAAAGCATTGATACATTAGCTCAAGCGCAGTACAGAGTTTGCTCTCACCAATGATTTGGGAGGTGCCTTAGCATCACAGCATCTGAGACCTCTCTGCCCAGTTCAGCTCCCGAACACCTTGAGGGCGGTTTTAGGAGATCGGCGTGCCCATTTTCCCCGATGCCAACTTGTGGTCCGGTGGTCAATCTTTGCACGCACAGAATTCCAGCTCCGGAAGCAGAAACCGGACACTGTACCGGTCAGCAGCAGTTCCATGCCTGACTGACTTGGTGGTGGGACTGGACACGCCACCCCATGTGACTGGCATCTCCTCAGTTTGCCAGGGACGCCGGAGCACTCTGCGTGTAAATGATCTGCAAGACACACTGGCCATTCCCCGGCTGTGCATCTGGATGTGGCCGTCTGTCTGTCTGTCTGCCTGCCTGCCTGTCTGTCTGTCTGTCTGTCTGTCTGTGCCAGTTCCAAAATTCCATCACATTTATATGAGATAGACATGGAAAGTTGTCCCAATTTTATGCTCCATCTATTTATTGTTTTTATGCCCGTTTTTTCTTCCGCCACGGAACTCAAGCAGGGCTTTTTGAAAAGCAGCTCACCCGGGCACCGATCTGTGCGATACCTGCTTAGCTCTGGCAGATCGGTTGCTCTGTGCACCTTGAGATGGTGCCCTCGGCACAGCATTCTTTCTAAGCCTCTCCGGCTCAATTCTACGGGACCGATTGAATTAACTACACAGTCAGGAAGGAGGGAAACACGGGGGTTTGCTTGTCCGGAGCAGTGTACTTGTATGCCTTTTCCTGGAAGCAATGGGCTGCTGGATTAGCACACACAAACACACACACACACCCTGTTATGATGATGAGAAGGAGCAGGCTTTGATCGGTGTCACAGGAAAGCAGCAAGGTCTGACCTCTTAGCTTCTAGGGTCTAACAAAGGGAATTGCTGAAGGGTCAAGTTACACATTACAGATACTGTATCAGAGGCTAGACACAGAGATGATGGTTCATAGACATGATTCTAGCAGCAATCATCACTTGAGGATAACAGCGTCACAAACCAAAGCAAGCTAATCTGCAAACCCTTGGAGGGGCAAACAGCTCCTGCTGTGACAGCCAGATGCTTTTCAGCACTTGAGGTCCTTTCCCTCTTCTAACGAGGTGCTCTCTGTAAGGTACACAATGTATTTCTCATCGCCTTTTAACTGGAGATTTGCCATCGGTTCCTACAAAGCACCAGTGTGGCTAGGCGGGATAATGTTAGCTTCCTTCTTGATCTTCTTGAGTCCACACATCCTTCGCCGCTTGGTGGAGTTCAGCTTTCTGGAGCTTTTCTTTCTTTCTTTCGTGATCAAGTGAGAGTTTGCTTTTCTCTAGATTCATAGAACTGTGGAGCTGGAAAGGCACCCTGGGCCATTTAATCTAACCCCTCGCTAATGCAGGAAATCCTTTGAGGATCCTACGAGAGGGTGGGAGGTGTAAGAAGCGTACAACCTCAAAGAACAAACACTAGCCTAAATCCAGGCGCTCTCCTTCAGTTAAAGAACATTCATGGATTCAGGTGCTGAGTTAATGGGTGTCAACACTCAACACCCATTGATTCAAACTGTTATTTGGGGCTACCGAAGGAGATTCAGACCAGCATTCCCGTCTCTGCACCTGCCACCGACAGCTCCAGAGATGCTCAGCATCCTGGACCTGATAATAGACCAGGAAGTCTGATGCATGGACCAGCCTTGATCATAGACCAGGAAGTCTCTCCTAGCTGAAAGGGCACACCGCTGGAGAAAGCGCCAAACAGGCCCGGATTATGAAAAGCAGCCCCTTCATTCTTCATCCATGCTACCATAAGCCGCCCGGGTGAAATCACGTTTGCAGCAGAGGGTTTTTAGGATAAATGGAAGTTGGGAAGTGTTTATCGTTATGACGTGGAAGGATTTCAGCTTATTTGGATGACCATTCTATGCACTCAGATTCAGAGTTTGGGAGAGTCACTTTACTAAGTGCTGAATTTACTCAAGTTACTTCGAGTGCATGTGGGCAGGATCTTATCCTGTGTTTCTCGTCTTGCAACCCTGCACAGTTAGGACATTAACTATGATGTCATTGACCTCAGCCTGAATGATGGAGCCTCCAGTTGAGATCCATTCCTAACATAAGCCCTTTCAAACACATTGAGGCTTACTCCCCCTTTTTAAAAAAAAAAGATGATAATTCCCACAACCACACTGTTGTCAAAAAACATTGTTGCCTGAATGATTTGCAGCGTATACCGCCTTCCGGGGGGCAGAGACTAACAATATAGATAGTCTGTGATTGGAAGAGAGAAGTCCTTGATTAATAAAAGCATCTGAGTGTAATAGCAGAAATTTCTCTCCCTTTTGGAGGTCTGCAAATCCACGGGTTCTGCTTGGTGATTGAATCTCCAGGGATTAAGCATGGGGTTTCTATAACACCTGCTTTGGCCGACCCGAAAGGCGGCCTCAATCACCTCTTTCCAACACTAACAGGCTTTCAGTTCTAATGATGGCTCCTCGTTCCATCTGTTTTTTGACCACCGACTTTTCACATATCGGCGAACGGCCACTCAAGTGTGGAATTAAAAACTTCAACCAGAGGATTCACCCCTTCCTGCCTCATCAGGCTGATAAAGGAGGCTGCTTAAACCTCACGATCGAGGTACATCTGGCCCCATTGCCCCAGCGCCTAAAATCTTCTAGGAAACAACAGATACTAAAAATGAATGAACAGGAGAGGAGTTTGCCCAATGAGCCTCAAATGCTGTTCATTTAGGAACATTCTTTAAGGGGTGTGTCCCCATCCCATTTCAAAAACAGATCGACAGTGAGAGACACCATGATGGAGTTTTAGGATGGGAAGAGGGTTCAGGATGCAACCCTGTGCCAGCTACCCAGCCAGCGGCTACGTCAGTCCCGGAGATGCTTTGGGGGGGGGGACCTCTCTTGTGCCCGTTGGATTCGAGCCACAGAAGCAGGATGTTGTGCGTCTGGACATGGACACGAGGAATCCAGAACCTTGTTTCCACTGGGCTGGGACACTCCCTGAGGGAAGGCTCTCCTTCAACTTGACCCACCTCGCAGGGCTGTTGTGAAGATAAAATAGAAAGCGGGGGTGAGCCAAGTATACAGCTGTAAGCTTGCTGGAGGATTATGTATAAGTTATAGATACACAATAAGATGACGATAACATTTTGAGTTGTGCTCTGAAGTTCTTCCATACACTTGAGGGGGTACCATGTAATCGTAATTAAGGTTCCTTGACCTCAGGTTTTGACCTGGCTTTTTCAGGGGTTTCCCTCCAGCTCTCGAGCCTTTGGAGCCGAGCTGCCACGAATGGGACGGAACCGGCATGGGACTCTTAGATGGACTGGTCAGCTCCTTCTCCTGGCTTCCGGGCATTTAGACATGCTCAGAGACACCCTTGCCCTTCCCATTACCTCGCATGTCACAGTGCAGCCGCCACTGTTGCTGGAATCATCCAGTGGTCCTTGAAATAAATCAAGGAGGTGGTGACGTGGAAAGGCACATCAACGAATGCATTAATTTTCCATTTTTGCTGATGGGGTCGGTTGCTGGATTGGGATGCTGGCAGCCCACCTCTTTTCCCTTCAAATGCTCTGTTTTTTTTTCTCCATTCACTTACTGGAGATAAGAGCTGGTATTTTCTCAGAATTAAAACAGCCTTTCTTATGCCATGCAAGGAAACCGTGCTCACTTCTGGCCGATGAGAGGAAAAAAAGCGGGGATTAAAAATTCGGATACCCAGGCCTACTAAAATAAAGTCCTTCGAACACACAAGAAAGCACTAAATAAGAAGAAGCAAAAGGTTCTAGTCTTGGAGGAAAGAGGTGGTACCTACAATACCAATTTCTGTCTAGATGGGAAACCTGCTTAAAGGCTATGATAACAGCAGCCTTGGTGTTCAGTAGAAGCACGAGATGGGTTGCTCAAATCTTGGCGAGCAATCAGCATGCTCTCCCGTGTTTGCTATGTGTGTATGTATGCTTGTGTGAACTTAGAAAGAGAGAACACTTGAAACTGGTCAAATTGCAGTGGCTAGCAGAGTGTTGCCTATTTTATGCTCGAGGTGAGATTTCTCATGGGGAGCTCAGGATCCTTAAATGAGTGAGAATTCTTTACTTTTCTGTCTTGATTGTGCCTGATCCTCACTTTCGCTCCCTTCACCAAGGATTGAGCGCAAGGTGTATTGTATGTCTTCTATGATAGAACTATGGTCCAGAAAG